ATGATGGAATATTTAGTAGAGCAGAATAAGCTGATGCCTGCCAGCTTTTTCATACCAGTGGTTACCAGATGTGCCTGTATTTAGAACCCCACCATCTGTTCCAGGGTGGAGGCTGGGGCTAGTCTAGGTATTTGGATGTGTCTTCTTCCTTGGGTATCTCTGGAAAACTTCAAAGCATCTGTGCTGAGATGAAGGGGAAGCATGGTTAGCTGTAATACTCCAGGAATTCAAGGGAATTTTCCAGAAATGCAGCTGATTCCTGAGTGCAGCAGGGTTTGGAAGGGGAAGGAGCCTTGAGGAGAGAGGCAGTGCTGGGATTTTGTGCTGTTGCTCAGCCATTGCCAAGATCCAGTTGGAGTTTTGCTTGGCTGTCACCAGGCTGGGCTGCTGCTTCCTGCTTTGGATTCTGTCTTTCCTAAGAGTCCATGCAATTTCCAGGAGTGTTGCAATATGGAAGTTTCTTAATGGGATTTTAGAAATTATTTCTGTAGGTAAGTTCTATTTAAATATGTTTTAGACAGTTTCTTTTGATGCTGGCTTGGTGTAGAATTACTGTGAGCTGTTACAGAGCAAGGGGAGGGAAAGCTGCTCTACCTTTACCCTCTCCCACCATGTCCAGCTCCCCCAAAGGCAGAAGTGACCCATCACACTGAAATGAATTTTTGGTCATTTTGGGGATGGGAAAAAACATATTTTGATCAACAAACTACTTGGGAAAAATACTCACCTTGTACTGGTAACAGCCTTTGGTTGACAGTGATCTGGGAAGGAGGGAAAGCTACACGTGTCTGTATCCATCCAGAATCTCATGGTTTATTTGTCACCAGTGTCTTCATCTCTCAGAACTAAAAGAATTGTTGCTGAAATAGGAAGAAGATCCTTTTAGAAAGCTTCTTGTGAAGAAAAGATCTCAGAGTGGTTATGAATGGTTTTATAAAGAAGGCATTGTGGTAATGGGGTCGGAACAAGATTTTTAAGGTCCCTTCCAACCCGTAGCACTATGTGATTCTGTGATAATACAATCATTTAATTAATTTATCTAGATGTTTGTCCCTAATCAAGCATGTGGCAGTAGAATTCAACATATTCAGAGTGTGATCCATGATATTCCACCCAAACAAAAGCTTCTACTCCATTTCTTGCCCAATGATTCTTCTTTTACAGGTGAAATAAATCCAGTAACTGTGCCCTCATTAACAAGAGAACAGGTATTTATTTTCCTCATCCCATTTAAGCACCAGGCAGTGTCCTCCAGCATCTTGCCAAAAGCTTCCACTGCTTTTATGAGCTTATTTTCTTTTGCTATCAGGAGCTGGTTCCTCTGTGCAGGATGCTGACAGTTCATTGTGTTTGCTCTTTGGATCCCAGCTGGGGCTGCTCTGGCTCCAAAGCAGAATTAGGATCTGGGAGGGAGGGAAGGGTCTGTGTGTCCATTCCTGTGCTGACTTTTCCTTTCCTGCTCCTGCCAGGAGATACTGCTCCTGGGTGTCTCATTTCATGTTCCAGCCCTTGCCATGCTTTATGGCCAGCAGTGGGGTGCATTTCACAATACCCCTCGTGCCCATGGGGTCTTCAAAGGGCTTTATTTAACTGTACTGAGATGCCTTTACCTACCACTGAAATGAAGCTACTTAAGCTGCAAAGCCTGGCAGCTGCTCCAACAGCAGGAGCACAACCAGGCCACTGCTTTTTTTGTCATGAAATAAGGGAAGAAAAAAAAATTCCATATCCATTAAAAAACTGCAGGGAAAATGTAAATTGTCAGAATATAATTACCTAAACTGGAGTTTGGCCAGCATTCCAGATTAACATTTCCTCTCGTGAAGCCGTGGGATACCTGATGGCCAAAAGCAGCCAGAGTCTCAGCAGGATTAAAAACTGAGCTTTGCTGTGTAGTTGTTCCATAGTGGCTGAGAGATGTAGATAATCTATTTAGCACCTACAGCACCCTGGGGCTAAAAAGTGGCTGAATCCTCTGAAATCCGATAGGAGTGTCTGAGGTTAAGACTGCGGTCTGAAAGCATTCCATGGAACTTGTAAAATCCGCAGATGGTCCGACCTTGGTGCCGTCTGCTGTGGAAAAGGAGGAGAAAGGGATTAAAAAAGATGTACCAAAAAGATTGCAGCAGGGAAAAGATGGGAGCTCAGGGTCCTCCCTCCCTGCCACCGTTGTTCCATGTTTTTCTGAGGTTTATTTCAGGCCATGGAAGTGTGCCATGGAAACGTGCATTAGCTGGCTCTGAAACTCCTTAATACCTGCCTGCAATGAGTCAATGGAATTTAGAGCAGATTGGAGACACTGGGATTCAAGCCATGCTCAGGAGGAAGTGGAGTGAGGAAGAGGGAATGTGCTGGGGGTGAGGAAAAGAGGGGAAGTGGGGACCATTTACATGGAGAGGGCACAAAGGTGGGATGGCATTCACTGTGTTCAGCTGCAGCTGCCAAGTGTAGAGTAACTTGCAAGGCAATAAATATAAGGGAGGTTCCCAGCCTGAAATGATACAGAAGTGTCTAAAGAGGTTCTGTCAGCAGAATTCCACTCTGGTTTGGGTTGGAGGGGACCTTGAAGCTCCTCCAGTGCCACCTCCTGCCATGGGCAAGGAGAGCTTCCACCCTCCCAGGTTGCTCCAAGCCCCATCTCCAACCTGGCCTTGGACATTTCTTGGGATGGGGCAACCACAGCTTCTCTGGGAATTCTATTCCAGGGCCTCACCACCCTCACAGGGAAGAATTTCTTCCTAAAAGTTGAACAGAAGGCCAAGATCTAAACTGTGGCTGCTTTTTAGGTGGCTTTGCTTTACATTTGCACACTTCCCTACAGTAGGATTAGTGTTTTTAGTCCTCCACCCTGTCAGCTTCAACTCAAGGTCACCACGGAGTTTCCAAGTCTCTAACAGGATTGGCAGTGTGAATTGAGTCTGTTCCTTTGGGAAAACAGGTTTGGAAGCTGATAGGAGTGAAAGGCTTTTCCTTGCCAGGAAAGTGTCGAGCGACTTTATCGGGAACTTATTTTCTTATTTAAATAATTATTAATCATAGATTATAGACCCTGCCCTTCAGGATCCATTTCTGATGTGGAAATTTTACATCTATATGAGAAATAAAAGCCCAGATGGCAGGAAAGGTGGGAAATGAGGGTATTTGAATACAGTAGTTTTTCTTTTGGGATAAGCAGAAGGCAGAGGAGCAGTGGATTTTTCACTTGGTAGAAGGGAAGCTAAAAACTCCTCTTTAAAACCAATTCCTGTAAGAGGAAGAAGGGGAAACACACAGAGAAGGGGATTAAATCTGAAGGTGTCTCCGTCAGTATAATCTGTAATAGCCTTGATAGTGCTTCCTGAAAGGGAGACTTGCCAGACCGACTACTGATCCTGACAGCTTTTCTTTTGGGAGCTGGGAGAAGAATTGTTCTCCTGAGTTGTCCCTGAAGTGATTCTCCACTGGTGTTTCCTCCTCAGTGAGGACCTGAAGGGAATGATTGTCCTCCTGTTTCTTCCTGCAGAGCTCCAAGTAGATCAGGGTGGAATACAAAACCCCGAGCCGTGGCACAGTGGAAACAGATGTGTGTGGTAGGACAACGTGGGTGTGTTCAGTGATTTGAATGTTAATTTAGCCTTTCTACTGTGCCATAGTCATAGTCTTTTTTAAATTTTTGTCCTGATAAAATATATAAAAAGTATTGTTTCTCCTTTGAACCTGCAGTACCTCTTCCTGCCCTTCTGTACAGCACGTTCCCTGCGGTGAGATTGGATTTTTTTATTGTTTATCAAAGGGCAGACCTGTGCCCCCGCCTCAACCCCTCGCTGGTTTTTCATCTCAAAATAAGAGTTAGTTTCTCCTTGCATTCTTTACACATGTGTAAATGACTGTTAAAAAGTGCAGACTGATGGAAAAGTGGTTTTTCGCCGCTTTGAAGTGCTCATGTTTTATTAAAGCTGAGATTCTTGGAGCTTTTTGGCCAGAAACACACCCCCCTCTTTACTCCTGGAGATAAACCCCCATTTCTTCCTTTGAAAAACTCTAATTCCCCCTAAGTTGTCATATTGTGTGTTTTGGTGTGGGATTTGATTGCCATAGATACACATGCGTTTCATGGAGCTCCTAATACATAAAATTAGAATGCATAGACAGAAGACTGGACCTTTGCGACGTGGTTTGGTTGTGAGAAGATGCTGGCACTGTTACTTGCCTTTCCCCCCCTCCTTTATTTCTTCATTGGTTTTTCCCCCCTCTTTTGCTTCAGTTACCATCTGTTGCATGCTATGTTTGGTACTCGCTTATTTCTACATGGCTTCTCTGACTTCACAACATTGAACCACTGATGCTGTTCATGCCAACCCTCCAGCGTGGATCTGGATGTTATTTTGTAACAAACTCCAAACCATAGTGGTATTTTAGTATCTGCTGATCAGTTTCCCACAACACAGTTGTTTTCCTAAGCCTTTTTACCAGGAGGCACCTGTACGTCTCTCAGGGGGTCAGTGGCAATCATTGTGTCCACATCACGATAGGCCTGAAGCATGACGGAGCTCCATGGCGGCATCCTCACAGAATTCTTGGGGGATACAAAGCACTTTATGGACTGTCTGAGCTCCAGCAGGACACTCTAACAGGGTTTTAGGGGACACACAGAGTTGCTCGCCCAAACGGCCGAGCTGCGGCTGCCCCTTCGAGGCAGCATCGCAGGCTGCCAACATGGCGGCTCTTCCATGAGGGGAGCGGAGGGTGTGAGGGACGGGGGGCGCGCGCCCGCATTTTCGGCGGGAAATCGCTCCCGGGCGCGGTGCGCGTGCGCAGTGGCGAGAGCCGAGCTGGGGGAAGCTTCGGCTGTTCCCGGCAGGTTCCGGAGGAGAGTCTCGCTGCTCCCCGCCCTCAACCCTTCGGGTATCTCCGCCCCCGCTTCGCCTATCTCCGCCCCCGCTTCGGCTATCGCCGCCTCTCTTCGTTAAGTTCCGCCGTCACTTCGGCAACTTCCGCCGGTTCGGTCGGAAATGGCCGAAGACGTGCGAGACCCAGCGGTTTAAGGGGAGAAGACCGGCCGGCTTCTCGGAATAAACCAACTGTGTCCGGCCCGTGGGGGGGGGAGCAGGGGAGGGCGGACGGAGCGGGAAGACGAGGTAGCGGCTATGGCTCCCCCCCCAGCCACTCGCGGCTCTGCCGAGAGGGCGAAGTGAGGGCGCCGAGAGGTAGGAGCGGACCGTACCACGCGCGGGGAGAGGGGGAGGAAGGTGGGAGAGCAGTAACACCCCCCCCCCGGAACCCCCCCGCTGCAGCCCGTGGGGCCGGGTAGGGCGGGAATGGTACAGTCCGGGGGAAGCCCCCTGGAGCGGCGGCGTGGGGGGGGGCTCGGCTTGGGCGTCCCTGAGGGGCTGGAGGGGGGCGCGGGGTCCCTGAGGGCCGGAGGAGCTCTGAGCGGGGATCCCTCAAGGCTGGGGGGACTGCGAGAGGGGAGATCCCTTAGGGCTGGAGAGAGCTGTGAGCGGGGATCCTTCAGGGCTGGGGGGGCTGTGAGCGAGGATCCGCCAGGGCTGGGGGCACGGTGGCGAGAGGTTCCTGAGAGCTGGGGGGGGGGTCTGTGAGGGGGGTCCTTCAGGGATGGGGGTTTGTGAGGGAGTCGCTCAGTGATGAGGGTTTGTGAGGGGGGGTCCCTCAGGGATGGGGGTTTGTGAGGGGGTCGCTCAGTGATGAGGGTTTGTGAGGGGGTTGCTCAGTGATGAGGGTTTGTGAGGGGGGGTCCCTCAGGGCTGGGGGTTTGTGAGGGGGTCCCTCAGGGATGGAGGTTTGTGAGGGGGTCGCTCAGTGATGAGGGTTTGTAAGGGGATCCCTCAGGGCTGGGGGCACGGTGCAGGAGCTCCCTCAGGGCTGGGGGTTCCTTCAGGGCTGGTGAGGCTGTGAGGAGAGTCCCTCAGCTCACGGGTGAGAAGCATTATGGGGATGTTGCATTATGGGGATGTCACACTGCAAGGGGGGACCCCCACAAGGCTGGGAGAGCCCCTCAGGGCCGGTGGGCTGTGAGAGTCCCTCACAGCATGAGGGGCACTGTGGGGGTCTCACAGAGTGAGGGACATTGTGGAGGGATCCCCACAAGCCTGGGGACCCTCAAGCAGGAGGGCTGTGGTGCCCAGGTGCTGCCGACAGGCTCCAGCCTTCCTACCTGTCCTCCCTCCTGCATCCAGCAAAAATCCTGAGACCTTCTTGTCCCGTCTGTGGATCCCCCAGCGTTTCAGGGACCATCACATCTACCCTGGCCAGTGCAGCTCCATTTCTCCTACTCTGAGGCAGTGCCTGAGTTCTGCTCCTTGTGGTTCTTGCTGGGGTTCTGCCTTGTGAGCTGGTGAATACAGCAAGGACCAGGCTGCCCTTGCTCTGGGCTTCTTAGTGTGGCTGGTATTGTGCTCCTGTGAGTTATTTACTAAAGTTGAGGTTCGTGTTATTATTTTTTCCCACATGATGTCCTTTCCTGCTCAAAAAACATCGGGGTCTTTACCAACAATTTTACCTGTGTGGTGATGGTACCTTAATGCTGCCAGGCTAATGCCCCGTTACGCTGATCCAAACCCAAACAATTTGGAGCCTGAAGGGGCTGGAAATGGTTCAAATGGTATTAAGGATTCACAGAGATGCTGAGAAGCACTTTAGATAAGCTGTTCTGTTGCTGTGTGTGTGTGTTAAAATCCAAGCACTGACCAGTTTCTGACCTCTTGTTGCTTTTATGTGAGTCTGATAGACCACGTGCGTTGATACCATGGTATGATAACTTTCAAGTGCCTGGGTTTCTTGTGCTGCCAGCCTCACATGTGTGTGAAGAAGATTAAGTAACTTTGTTTCCTGAGAGGAGTGTCACATGCAGGTGATTATCTGAGATATTTCTGTTCTCAGGGAGAAATAAATCTATGATATCCGAGATAGTAACATCTTGGAACGTGGGTTGGCGGGTTTTATCAAGTACTGAGTAATCTTAAACTCGTTTCTATGCAGAAATAGCACCAGAAATGAACCACAGTCTGATTATGTGATGATGGGGAGAGAGATTTGTCTCCCCCTGACAAATCCCTTAACTTCACCTACCATCTGAGAGCCCAGTTGTTATCATGCAGTGTTATCTGTACCCACTCAGGTCTTTGGGATGCCTCTGCTTTTCCATTTCTCATTCCAGAAATGGAAGTTTGCATGGGTTCAGCTCGGTGTTCAGGGATTCTGGAGCTGGGATAGTTGCCTGCCTTCATTGAGCAAATTTTTCCAGCAGCTCAGCTGTGGTACAGACAGTTCTTGAACTTCTTGCTGTTGTGTTGCAGAAGGGAAGTCCAGAGCAGTTTTCTGGAATCCTCTGGTTTTTCAAGTGGGGACTGTTAGCTCTCGTGTTTGTTTACACGTGAGGATGGATTTTGGCAGTTGTCAAGTCAGAGCAAAAGCAGCAAATGCTGAGAATAAGGAAAACATGATTGTTGAATTCCTTCACGTAGGCTGGCTCTCAATGATACATGGCAAAATTGGAGGTTGGTTTGTGTGCTGTTCAGATGGCCTGGGAAAGATATCATCATCATCATCATCATCATCATCATCATCATCATCATCATCATCTTCCCTTGAATATTTGTGGATCTCTGGCACTGTTTAGCTGATGAGTTGGATGTTGTTGATGCATTCCCAAGTTTTGTTTGCCTATGGGGAGCCAGAGTCCTTCCTGAGCCTGCTTCCCACGGCCGTTAATTCTTGAAATGCCCTGACACCTTCAGCTTCAGTTTTTAGTGTCTCTCTCCTTCTGGTCATGTATATTTTGTGTGTATTTGTTGTTTTTCCCTTCCAGTCTCTGTTGCCTGGTTTTTTTCTCCTTGCTCTTTGGCTCCTGTCGCCTCTCCCACTTGCCTTGCCTGTTTTCCCAGGGCATTGCTCCTGCTGCCCCCAGCAATGTTTTCACCAGGCTGGGGATTGCAGCTAACCACAGATGTTACCTGTTTGATGCCAAGACCACGGCAGCCCTTTGTGAATTGGTTCCTGCTCCAGAGACAATTTTTCTGCTTTGGAGACCCCACAGGAGCAGTGAACTGGAAGGGACCTCGTGGTCATTGGCTCCTGTCTCATCACCAGAGATTTTTCCTGCAATCTGTGCTAAATACCTTTATTTTTTGAGAAGGAGCAGACTGTGAACATTTTGAAGCAGCTCCTACCTCTGGGTGGAGTATTTGGTGTTAGTCCTAATGAGCAAAACCCCCAACAAGCAAAATATTGGGTTTTTTTTTGTTGTTTACATGTGAAAAAGACAAGTGTAACTCATAGGCTTGTTTGGAATATGCTGCTCTATACTGAAAACACAAAAAAAAATAAATCTCTGCTGCTGTGTGGCTTGGCAGTGGGGAAAGCATTCCCATGGGATTTGGGGGATGCAGCTGGGGCCTCCAGTTGTCTCCTACAACCTGTACTGACACAGGCTGTGCTTGCTGGGCTAAAGCCAGCACGGCTATGAGCTGCACTTGTGGGGCTGCAATCCTCAAAAGCAGAGTTTTCTTCTTGGAGAACACTTGGAAGTGCTGCTCACTGGGGCTCTCCGTGCTTGAGTTTGGCTCTTGCAGCTCAGCTGCACATGCAAATCCTGGTGGTGGATGCTGCCTGAGAAGAGGTGCAAAGCCAGTTTGAGGTTTTGGGGTTTGTTTAGGAAGGATAAAGACAGAAACATCTGCAGCTCATCCATCCCCGGGCTGCCTGGGTGTAGGAAGCCTGACCCACCAGGTAAATTGATGCTATTACAGCACTTGCAGGGCCAGTTTTGAAGTGCAAATTGAAATCCCGTTTCTGTGAAGTCGTTGCTGTTTGTTAATTGGTGCCTGTTACCGGCAGGAGCAGTTTAGAGGTCTGACTAATCCATCTGGGATGAAAGAGGGCAGGTTTAGGTTACATTTTAGGAAAGAATTCTTTGCTGGGAGGGTGGGGAGGCCCTGGCACAGGGTGCCCAGAGAAGCTGTGGCTGCCCCTGGATCCATGGAAATGTCCAAGGCCAGGCTGGACAGGGCTTGGGTCAACCTGGGATGGTGGAAAGTGTCCCTGCCCATGGCAGGGGGTGGAATTGGGATGAGCTTTAATGTCCCTCCCAACCCAAACCATGCTGGGATTTGATGATCTGTCCCTGCTAATTGGTGGTAAATGGATAATGGCTTCTCTGGGCTATGTTGACATAACCAATAACTCTACAAAGTGATCTGTTCCTCAAGGGTAAAATTGAGTGAAATACAGAACATTGAGACTTATAAATCTATCAGATCAATCCTGGATGGGTTTTTTTGTGTGGGACAGAACCCTAAACCTCCAAACCAGCAGTTCACCTGTAGCCACTAATGGCCATAAGGACTATTTTAAAGCACATATTCTTAATGAGTCTCAGATTTTCTGCTCTTACACTCAGCTTCTTAAATGACTGGAATCTTGTTGCCTGGAGTCTGTGTTTTCTCTGCTGTCCTCTGCCCTCCCCTTTCCCTGTGAATTTTGGTGCATTAAGAAAATGTGCCACTTTTCTAATGCAAATGTCTGTGGTATCAGAACATGGGATTAACCCATGGATTGTAAGAAACACTTTCAAGTTTCTTCTAACAGGAAATGTTAAGAACATTCCCCAGTGCAAAGGTAACATTTTTATTCCCCTGCTTTGCACAGTGCCCAGCTGCTTGGTCTTTTACCTGTCTTGTCTCATAAAATGCTTTCTTTTATGGTTCAAAATGCTTCCAGGTATCTTCTCATCTGACTTCAGTCTTAGGGACAGTGACAGTGCAGGCAGCCTGAGGTTTGTTTTCCTTCCTGTTGTGTTTTGGTACCAGCATTGCCTGAAGTGTGGGCTCCAACATCTGCCTCTGGATGAGCTGTTTTCCTGTTCAGTGTAACAAAGTCATCTCAAATCTGTGCTGGAATATTTGGCATCCGTGGATTCATCTGGAAGCGAGTTCTATTTGTTGAAAGGCCACAGTGCCACAGAGCAGGAAGTGCATTGCTCTGCCCATGCACTGCCTTCCTCAGGGAATGCTTTTTGACAGGTTGGGTACTTTGTAAATCCAGACAAAGAAATGATGAATTCAAATTTGGACACTTAATGTGAAAATTGGCCTCTCTGCTTATTAAAACAATATAATTAAAACCATCCACCATCCTCCATTACTGTCCCATCAACACATCTCCATTTCCAACCTTTTGGGCCTGGATT